TAATTATTTTCTTTGAAACACTAACAAAAGATGTAGAATGACAGATTGGTGCTGTGTGTGTGTGTGTGTGTGTGTTTTTGTTTGGGGTGAATCAATGTGTTGGTCCTGATTTATTTATTTTTTTACTTTTGTAAACAGGTTCTCATTCACAACAACAGGATATGCAGCCATCTCAGTGCTTCACATCCAGGAATGGTAATGATCACAGAGTCTGGTGCCTCTGTGTGTTTTTTACACTAAAGGATCTGTTCCTTCTGTCACTCTGCGACTTCTAACGCTGTGTTGTAGAGCARTGCAGGTCCTCACTAGCATATCCAGCGCATAAAACGCTCAAAGAAGGCAGGTTTGCTCAGCACGCTGAAGTCAGCTCCTTTAAAGATGGCCGACCTATCGCCCAGTGACACCTTGCGCAGCACCTCTTCGTCCGTGTCGCCTCCCAAGGCGATTACCGTGGGCACGCCCTCTGCCCTCTTCATGGCGGACACACCCTCCTCTAGCTGATCGCTGGACGTGATGCCGTCAGTGATGAACACAAAAGCGAGCTCCGCYTTGCGTCGTGATAAACGTTGGCTCTACAAGCACAGCATTAATGGAACAAGTTAGAACTTTAGGAATCCTGACAAACAGAAAATAGAGCAGGAAACAACAAATATGAACCACAAATGCAAAACTGACGTGGTGTAAAAAWTTCTAAAATACTTTTTGCATGAACTATTGTGATTTTTTTTCTGCACTTTTCAGATTTGAGTTGTTTTAAAGTGGGCATGTGATACTTTTAAATCCTTCCTTTTCACACTTAAATCATTCAGTTGGGGTCTTTATAAAGTGGAGCTTTGGTCTGAATTCCTTCTTACTGTAACTTCACCAGCCTCCATTTCACCACTTTTCTTTTTGTCTCTGAGCAGCTGTTTTGTTACTGTTCCTTTAAGGCACTTCAAGCCCTGCCCCCTCCTGCTTCCAGACCGGTCCACTCCTGTTTAATAGGAGGTTAGCATTTTGTAGGTGCAGAAACATTTTATTTACAATTTAATTAAAAGATGTGAAGAATAGAAAGCCCGTCCATCCAGCCTTACACGTTGGAGCCAGAGTCTGACCCAGAACCAGAGGATACTTAAGATGACAAATTTGAAGTTTGTAAGTCCAGACCTTATTTGGTAATTCCATCACAGATAATTTGACATAATAGTTCAGAAAACATCATAGAAAATGGAGAAAACTGAACAATCTGAAATATATGACTCAAACGGATATAAAGATTTCATTGCAGCACCAGGAGAAACTAAATTCAACTTTTCTACACTCCTAGAGCTTCCAAGTCCACAACGAAATGTATTTAATGGCTAAAAAAAGGTAGATTTTGATATGACCCCATTAAGACAACTTCAGTTTGCTTTGCTTTTGGCCTCATCTGTTCTAACCAAGCAAACTAAACTAAACCCACTCAAAGAGTAATCTACACCAAGTGAGATATTTACTGCTCACAACTTCTCCACAGAACCCAATTTACAAAAGAAAAAGTTAATTGACATTGTGTAAAAATGTGAATAAACTGCTTCTTTCAGGCAACTGATGGAGAATGAAGTATATAAAATGCCAGAGTCACTGTTTACAGAAGCTGATAATGGGGAGAAACCTTTTTTAAAGGTCACTGAAACAGACATTAACATTAGCATCAGCAGTGTTTAGCCTCAGCACAGTAGAATTACACAGCAGATTACTGTTTAAATACAGTACCTCTTTGATCACCAGATTGTTGACAGCGTAGATGATGGCGCTGCCCAAAGCAGAGGATGAATCCATGTAGGACACGCCTGCCAGTGAATCTGAGATCACCGTGAGGTCATGTGTGAGCGGGAACTCCACCTTTTGTTCCGTGGGGCTGCCGTACTGCAGCAGAGCTACGCGGGCATTCCTCTCATCGGTCGGGCCGCTGGCCAGGACGAGCTGGCGAGCCACATTCTCCACGAACTCTTTGGCCCTGCGGTGGTTCTCCAGGCCCATTCTCTCTGAACCGTCCAGCATGAAGATCAAATCTACTGGCCTCTGGACACAACTAGCCACGGCTGGCTCTAAAACAGACACAAACACACAAAGCATAGTGTTCAGTGAGCAACAGCCGGAGAGCAGATGTTCCAACGTCAAGAGACAGGAAAGGATAWACAATTACATGCCAAATAACTCCACGCATGCTAGCAGCAGTCCAGCTGTTTTAATTTACTCGTAAGGTCTCCAGATCAGCACGGCTCTCGTCATCAACACAGAAATATTAATTCGTTTTGAACCATAAACTTTAATACATTTCATTGATACAAAAAAAACTTTACATCATAAAGTTGCAGTCACAGAGTTGAACGGTTGGTTAAARTGTGGTCTTTTCTCTGTAGTCATACTTTAGTCAAGCCACATGCTGAAAAAAATAAAACGTGCACGAGCCAAAAAAAAGTACAATATTTCCTTCACCTTCTCCAAGTCAATCAACCAAACATTTACATACACAAACTTATGACTCATATACATGTATTTATAAAAACAGAAAATTTCCATGTATAACACCTTTTAACCAACGTAGAGTGTTCATACAGAACTAAAGTAAAAGCTGTAACCATAGACATGTGCAAAACACCCCCAAAAATGCCGAATGACTCAGCAATTATGATTCACATWGGAAAGGAGACTTCATCACGGAACCACTGTACAAGAGGAACATGAATGGCTCTACAGTCAGTTCTGCCTGCAACAGATGAATGACATCCATTTTCCATTTGAGCAGCAGCCCATCTTCCAGTAAGATGGAAGAAATGATATGTACTGTATATATTATTAATACATGTTTCTCTGGGTTACACCACTGTGTTTGTTCAGAAAACTGTGCACAGAGATCTGGTATCAATAGTTTGACTTTTTGTCTATCACATTTAGAAACTCAATGATTAGGCAGAACAAGCTTCAACTCATGCATTTGTTTTGCATTAGTCTAAATTATGTATTGCACCTTTTAAAGTAATAAAAATTACAACTGAATATATATTTAATGTCCAGCAGCAAGCTTATTAGTCACAGCTGTGAGGTAGCATGGTTAGCGTGTTAGCTCTAGCAAAGCCCGAGAGCTTTCTCCGGGTCTCCCATGATGTCTCCGTAGACATATTTGAACGAGTCGATGAAAAGCTTGGTCCACTGATCCCTGTCCGTTCCCTCGGTGAGCTTGGCTCTCTGGGCTGTGTACGCCATGGTTGCAATGCCAACCCCGTACTGATGTTCYCTCAGGCCGTTCAGCAGGTTGGCCACACCTTCCAAAGAGGTGGGGACCAATGAGGGGGTGCCTTCCTCAGCCAGTGGCTTCCAGGYGGGTGGGGCTTCCCCCTTGGAGTTGCCCCCTCCTGCAACAAGTGGGTGGAACAACACTGTGGGCGGGGTCCCACAAATGCATCAACACAGCCAAACATGATGTTGGAGTCACACTGACTTGGTTAGCACGGTTTCAAATGGCTTACAACCTTCTCACTTAATGTCACCAGCACAAGGATAGGACWAACGGTTGAAAAATACATTATTATTATCGTGATGGTGATGTCAGTATGCTTCAAAAGAACTACTCAGAGCAATATTGTTGAAAAAAAGGGCAAAAATGGAAAAAAATGATCTGATATATACAGTACAGACCAAAAGTTTAGACACACCTTCTCATTCAAAGATGAAAATTGTAGATTCACATTGAAGGCATAAAAACTATGAATTAACACATGTGGAATTATGTACTTAAAAAGTGTGAAACAACTGAAAATATGTTTTATATTCTAGGTTCTTCAAAGTAGCCACCTTTTGCTTTGATTACTGCTTCACACAGTCTTGGCCTTCTCTTGATGCGCTTCAAGAGGTAGTCACCTGAAATGGTTTTCCAACAGTCTTGAAGGAGTTCCCAGAGATAATTAGCACTTGTTGGCTCTTTTGCCTTCCCTCTGTGGTCCAGCTCAGCCCAAACCATCTCGATTGGGTTCAGTTCCGGTGATTGTGGAGGCCAGGTCATCTGACACAGCACCCCAACACTCTCCTTCTTGGTCAAATAGGCCTTACACAGCCTGGAGGAGTGTTTGGGGTCATTGTCCTGTGAAAAATAAATGATGGTCCAACTAAACGCAAACCGGACAGAACAGCATGCTGCTTCAAGATGCTGTGGTAGCCATGCTGGTTCAGTATGCCTTCAGTTTTGAATAAATCCCCAACAGTGTCACCAGCAAAGCACCCCCACACCATCACACCTCCTCCTCCATGCTTCACGGTGGAAACCATGTAGAGTCCATCTGTTCACCTTTTCTACAAAGACACGGTGGTTGGAACCAAAGATCTCAAATTTGGACTCATCAGACCAAAGCACAGAT